TTTTGTAAAATCTATCCGATAGGCGCATTTAATCTCACTTTTCATTGTATTGTTGTTGGCGCGAATCACCAGCAGGAACTCGCCGTCTTCATCCATCTTGCGCTTCGCGTCGTGAGAACGTAAAATTTCGCGTTTCAGATACCGCTCTATATCACGAAATTCGTACGATCCTTCGGGAATGACAATTTCGTCATCGTCAAAGTAAAACTTATTGTTTGTTGAATTTACATTCGCTAGAGTATGGTATGTTCCAAAATCCGTCAAACCGAGCTCGTAATCGGCATCGTTCGAATCCACAGCTGGAAAGTAGCTCACAGCAAGGACGCTATATTGCCGGTCAGCGTAAATGTCAACGACATGTTTAAACGAATACTGAGTTAAACGGTGCAATGTCGGTCCTTAAATTGCTTGTCAACCGTTCGTAGAAACTGTAGACACAGCTGTCTACAATTACTCTGATTGTAGCGTTGATAGTGCGTGCGATTGTACTCGATTACACTGTTTACCAGATATCTTTCGAGTTCCTTCGGCGGTCGAAGATTGCCGAAACTGTCGAAATATATGGCGCGATTTCCCCTTTTCGCATATGCCACCTAATGCTTACCGGGTCCCTCGGCATTATCCAAATTTACGATACCGCTCTCGTTTCGATGTATTCCTTCCACCGGTAATGTAGTACGCATAAAGATCTCTAAAATATGAAATGCGCATATGATTTGCAAGTTGCTGCAGTTGCACGTTGGTAGTTACACCCTTTGGTAGTTTTAACGTCTCGTAGACGTTTTTTTTTTCTACGCGCGACACCTCGTCCGCGCTTGTAGGGAGCGAGATAAACGCCGCGACCTTCCATGACGCGATTATGACGTTGCAGTTCTTGCAGCTGATGCTGCGCCGCTTTGCTAGGCTCGTTTACGGCCTTGGCGACTCCCGCCGCTCCGCCGACCAACGACCCGAGAACGCCTAGTAGCGGAAGAAAAGGTAGGACGCCGCCGCGTTTCGCTATCGGAAGTATCCGCTTGCTCTTCCTCTTCCTAGTTTTCAGACCCTAATTTTGTCTTAGCCTTCATAGCCGCCCAAACGGCCGTGACTGCGGCTCTCTCTCCAAGAGTCGTGTCCTTTGCGACAATGCGTTTCCGCGCCTTCTCCGCGAGTAATTTGTCAGCTGTGTGTCGTTTCGCGAGTTCGCTGCTATGCGAATACGCTATATCGTGCTCGCGATACGCCGTGTCCAACGGATTGATACCTCGATCTCCTCTCGTCAATCGTTTCTCTAAACGCGTTCCCGGACCGCAAAACTGGTATCCGGGAATATGCAGTTCGAAAGGAAACGCGTTTATCGCGCGATTTAACAAGCCTCTCGATGACATTCGCCACAATTCTTTATCAGAGGCGCCGGTCCGTCGATATGCATTTGATGACTCGGCAAATTGTAGTGCTGCAAGCACCGAAAGTATCGTTGTACCTCCGAATCGGCTCATATTATGCTCAGGCAGTCTATCCCACAACACATCTATAAAATTTTCAAACTCTCGCAGCAGTATAATTTTCGGTATATATTCCAACTTTTTTTATGTTAAACTGTGTAGATCGTCCGATATGATGAGAAACATTTTGATTACTGAGCGATTTCACTCCACGCATCCCTATAAATAGACCCGCTCGCGATATCGTTTTTAGTATTTTGTGGAAGGAGAAAATATGCGGTTCGTGCGCCAGTCGCGGATGATCAAAGTGACGAATCTCGATGGAAAAGTGCGGACCGATAAAGAGATGAAAGCATGGTAGCGTGCTGCCAACCTCTATACGCTATCGTTTGCGAACCGTCAAACTGTGGCAAGACGAACGTGCTGATAAGCCTGTTGGAAAGTTCACATGGCGTACGATTCGAGAACGTGTACGTGTACTCGAAATCGCTGCAATAGCCGAAATATCAATATCTAACGAATTTGTTAACGTCGATCGAAGAAATTGGCTATTTTACATTCTCTAATAATAATGATGTCATTCCAACGAACGAGGCGCTTCCGAATTCCATCTTTATCTTTGATGACGTGGCATGCGATAAGCAAAATGCGATAAGACTATTTTGCAATGGGCCGACACGCGCACGTTGACTGCTTCTATCTCTGTCAGACGTATGCAAAGATTCTGAAGCATCTTATACGTGACAATGCGAATCTGTTGATCCTGTTCAAATAGGATGGGATAGGATAGGTACTAATCTGAAACAAGCGTACAACGATCACGTAAATACTGACATGTCCTACGAAGATTTCAGCGATTTGTGTCGTAAATGTTGGCAGCAAAAGTATGGATTTCTAGTGATTGATAAGGATGGTGCGCTTAACAATGGACGATATAGAAAAGGTTTTAATGACTTGGCGGTACCGTGACATGATCAGTTGTTATCGATACGCTGACTAGGCAACATGGACAGCACCATAGATCGCGAGAGGATAGCTAAAGAGATTGCGAAAACGAGCGATTCGATTCGTAAAAAGTACCGTGCCCTGAAAACCGGTAAAATGGAGGAGGACATCGCGTTGGAGAGACACTTTAAACCTATTATTGAACCGCTGAAACAGATTGTCGAAAACACTATTGAATCCTCCAAAGATCCTATCAAGAATGAAACGTTCTTTTCGGATGAGGAACCAAAACCAAAGCGAAAACGACCGAGCGCTTCGCACGACAATTCTATATGGGCTTCCACACCTGTGAAATCAATGTTGAATCGATCGAAAACTGTACCATCTACTTTGAATGAAATGTCTGAAATAGTCGAGCCGCACGATTTATCGTACGAGTATTCACATGCTCCTCCGTCGAAGAAGTATTCGAAGTCGATGAACCGTTCGTAACATCCATTCGACACCTGCTTCAAACACCCGAGGGGCAAGAAAAGTTGCAAACAAGCTATGGTCCGCTGGGACAAAAATTTCTGAAAGCGGTCTTGAGCGGTAAGAAAGCCGTAAACATTGACGTTGTGTACGGAGTTTATTTTAGCAACGAGGGAACGATGCTCGGCGACAAACATATCGCCTTGGACAAAAACGATGATATAATTATAAATGGTAAAAGATACGAGGGAACACCGGATCTGTACGAGTTAATTTTCATGAAATTTCCTAATGAAGATATATGCACGGATGATGATATGCAAACCTACAAGAGTATTCTGTTGACAACAAATGCATATAGACGCGGTCATAGCGCGGATAGTAAAGTACTAGGTAACAAGGGGTACAAGTATAAGAATATAATCACACCATTGGTGTTGGATAAAAAAGTTGGAACGGGTATAAACAAAAGATCCGATATACCGCGCGCCATGACACTAAACGATAATAATATTGACTACATTCATTGGGACGATCCCAACGAACTTGTTGATCGTCTCCGATTACTCGAGGCTTCGCGCCAGGAGGGACACAATGGTCACGACAACGAGATTCTGTCGATTATCGACGAACTTCGAGAAGCCGGTCTCATTATAAATTGACGTAGTGCGATATGCGTCATTCAGTCGATGTCGAAATGCCGATCAGCAAGTTTGAACTATCGCTCGGAGTAGGAGGAAATGTATCGTACTATCAGTGGAGCGAATCGCTCAGAAATTACGTACGCGATAACGCTCTTTGCGTAGTTCGCAGCCGACTTTGATGCAAAGTCACGCAAGATTCGACGTTTAGCACTACCAGTGGATAAGGCTGATGCAGCAAACAAACGATACGTGCAGCAGAATGTTCAAGATTTGAAAGATCGATTTGATAAAATCGAGAAGAAGATGATATCATTCCAAAATAATATGCAGGTTATGCTAAACGAATTTGAAAAGACGATTCGAGAAGTGAATAATCGCAATGACTGAGAAACGATCGCTGGTTGATGAATTACACGCTGCAGCGAGAAGAAATTT